TTCTATCTTTATTTATAGTTTTTTTTTGTAATTATGATGCTAAAAAGATGGAAAACCAAAAATCACTAAATTCAACTCAAGAACCATCATTTGATAACTTATTGAATGAAACATTGCAATTATAACACCCTTTAAGAAAATATAATAAAGATGAAGATCTTCAAGAATAATATATTCTTTGTCAAATAGATGGCAAGTTATAATATATTTGATATCACAACTTGAAAAGAGACTCTCAATGTTTGGTGATTTTATTAGAGGTAAAAACAACTTTTGATGGTGTTATAAATTTTTTGTTTGAAAGAAGTAACGAAGCTCTTAATAATGATCAAATAATAGGATGGTCTTTCCACCTTACAATAAGATATCATTATTAGCTGAGAGGGCCTATCAACTATCTTTGAAGGAAACAACAATCAAAGTATGTAGCAAATACAATTTATTGCATCTTGTACTACTTCAACATGTGACCATTGCTCTTCATGGAACTTGTTCCTAAAAGAGGAGATAATGTCATGAATATACTTATAATTACCTAAATAATATAAATATATAAAAATAAATAAAAATAGATTCATTTGATAATATCTTATAGAAAAGATTTTTAAAAGCTTCATAGATGCGATTTCACCTCTATGCATGTCTATAGGTGATTGATAGATTAAAAACTTGGTCAATAAATTAGTCACATGTCATATATATTGGTAGCTTATAATACAAGCTTATAATATGGCACACATAAAGAAAACTTATTTTGCAAATTAAAACATGTGTCTCACAAATTGAACACGTATTTAAGATCTTATAGAATGTTGCTACACAGTTCTTTGGTAGATAGTATATATAGGAGAAAAAAAGAAGCCTTCTTCATTCTTGTCAATTCCTTTCTTACTTCCAATATAGTTTCAAGAGTCTCAAACTTCCTCGTCTTTGGCAATAGCCATTTGAATTCTTCTTAAATATAATTATTTTTTATTATCATTTTATTCTCTTCTTTGATTTATTCTCACATGTTTATATATCTTCGTTGATTCTTATCCTTGATACATGCAATAGCTTGAGCAATAAATTGTTCTAATGAATCTATTCTTGGCATAGTCAACAATACATTTTTGATATTATCTTTCAATCCATATTAAATTTGATTAATAAAGGCATTGTCCTTCCAATCTACATTGCAAGTAAGATTTTGGAATTTTACAATGTATATAGTGGTTGAATGTAATCATTATTTTAAAGATAGGAATTCAGTCTCTATTACTATGTTTCAATCACTTTTTCTAAATATGGCCATATAACTTCTAATAATTAATTCAAATCATAAAAAATCATGATTTTTTTCTATTAAAGATATAAATCAAGAAAAAATACTCCTCAATAGAAGTATACATATGAATTTAACTTCAGTAAATCTGTCAAGGTATTAGAAAAGATGTAATCTTAGATAGAGCTTTACTTGTTGTAGAAATCCTCAAAATTTTAATCTTATTACATCAAACTTCTCTAATATACTTATCCCTGCTTCTCTCATGTTTATAGTAGTAAGACTTCTTGGATTCAATTATGAACTTTATCTACTTACTTCTCTTATTTATCCAACTTCTTAGTCTAGAGTTTAAACCTTATTATTGACTTCTTTCATAGGTATAGGAATAGTACCTCTATAGGTCATGTTAAAAATACATGAGATTTCTATCTTAAGAGTGTTGACAAGTTCATAAAGATCTATAATAGTTGCAAATCTATTTTTACTTCTATCAAGTATAGCATCCATAATTTTTCTTTCTATAGACAATTGAAATAAATTCATAAGTTAAATTACAGGAAGTAATTTCTAATATCTAATATCAAATAATAATTTTTACAAAAAAAATTAGTTCATTTTTTTTAAGAAAAAAATCACTATTAGAAAATTAAATTAATAATTTAAATATGAATAGTTCACAATCTTTAAAATACAACAATAGAAGTAGGATAATCTACTCACTTCTAAATAAAACAAAAATAATAAGTTAACATTCTTATCAAATTATCAAAGACATGAGTCTTAAAAAAATAAAAATAAAAAAATAAAAAAAATAAATATAATCTTGTCAAAATTATGAAGAATATTAATCTTAAAGAAAAAAAATTCAATACACTCTTATCTCACTTAAAAAGAGTAGATATTCACTCAAAAATAATATTGTATTGAAATTTGAATGGCTATTGCCAAAAAATAAGAAGACTAAAAAGTCTTGAAATAATACTAAAGATTAGAAAGGTATTGACAAGAATTAAGAAGGCTTCTTTTTTGCCTCCATATATACTATCTAAGTAGGAACTACATGGCAATGTTCTATAAGACCTCTAATACATGTTCAACTCGCAAGATACATGTCTTAACTTATAAATGAAGTTTTTTATATGTGTGTTATATAATTAGCTTATATTATAAGCTATTAACATGTAAATAATTTATTAGTCAAGTTTTAAACCTACTAATCAAATACAAATACTTGTAAAGTCAAAATTGCATATATGAAGCTTTTAAGAAGATTTTTTATAAGATATTATCAAATTGATCAAATTTAATCTACTACTATTTTTTTATATTACCTAAAAAATTATTGAAGTAAATATGTATGTCCACAACAACAAGTATCTTATTTTAATAAAATATGTCAAATTATTGAAGCATAAGCTTTTTAAAAGTAAAATACTATGGCTTGCCTTCTCTTTTAAAAAGCTATGTCTATGTCCATTTTTACAAAAAATAAGTTGGAATAAAGATCTTTCTATTATAAATACTATTTCAATGGAAAAACATGAAGGTTTATATTTCAAACAAAGAAATATATAGCTCTATGAGAAATTTGAAACTTATTTTGTTTATATAAAATATCAATACATTATTGTAAAAGGATTATTAATTTTCTATATTATAATAGGATAAAACCAATATTCGCCTTGCATATATTATGGTGTAATTTTGTGTACAGAAGTTGATGGATCAAACTATACAATTGAAGTTTTTTATGAACTTCCTTCATTCTTCTTATTATCTTTTTTCTTATAGTGTCACTTGATTACAAGATACAATATTCACTTGATATTATTTGGATGAATTTTTTAAATAAAAATCCTTGCAATATTGTTCTTTCTTCAATTTTTATATTACTTCTATGGTTGATCAATTTAGCGATGGATAATAATTAAATGTAGACATGAATCAATCTTCTTGATATTATTTTAATCAATAATATTAAATATTAGGTTTAATATCAGATTTTATAAATTTTGAGGAATTTGACTTCAAGGCTAGTAATATAGCAATAATAAAATGAATCACTTCATATCATTATTGTACATGATAAGAAAGATATTAAAGTATTGTTACAAAACAAACTTTTTTTTCAGTTGCACTTCCCTATAATGTAAGCCACCATGACATATTTTACTTAGTCTAAGGTATACATAGGTAATAGCATAGTATCTACAAAAGAATTGACATCTTTTATTCAATTTTTTTTTTTAATCAATATTTGAATATTTACTTGGATATCTATTCAAAGGCCATAATTATCAAACATGATAATATAAAAAGTTGTAGTGTATATGTCCTAGTTTCATGGTCTAATTAATGTTGCATATTGCCTAAAAATTTGTTTGGATGTGATATATTTCTATTGAACTCAATTAGTTGCAACTTATCTTTAATAATGAAAATAATGCAAAATGATGCCATGATCATAAGCAAACACTACATCTATGGAGGGTTTGAAAAAACAAGAGCCATAGCATGTAATAAACATGGATTAAGACTCACACATAAGGAATCAAATTGTGTTATGTGAGAGTGGAACAAATGTAAATTCTTTGGAGGCCTAACACCTCATTTGATCTAAAATCTAAAACAAGGGCTTTTACAAAATTTTATGTGCCAAAAAGTGCAGAAGAAGGCTTGTTGATTACTCTATGGCACACAAATTGGGCCTAGTATTACTTAAAAAAAATATATTTTTGATAGTTTAATTAGTTGAAGTATAGATTTAATATTCTCACAAAAGTGAAGGATAGATTTCCTATTATCAAGAATATAGAGGTATTCTTGATATTTCAACATATTTTAAGGACATATATGATATTTTCCTTGAAAAAGAAATATATATATATATATATATATGCTATTTTAACTTTTTAAATAAACTATAATAATATATGTTTCTATCATTTAATAATCAAGTAAGATGTTTTGATAGATATTTTAATATTATAATATGTTCAAATAGATGTATTTCAAATTATTTGCATTCTTATTTTTATTGTAGAAGAAAAAGTGGATTGGAGAGAGAGGGGACTTGGCCTTGAAAGCTGGACCCAAGGGAATGAGAGATTTGAATGTAAACGACTGCAAGCTTTTGGAGCAAGAGGAGAGGGCCATGTTCAGGCAAAGGGCATTTAAAGAGAAGCTGGGTTGTTCCCACATGGAGCTCTGGCTCATAGGCATTTGTAAAGGAGATAAACAGGTGTAGCGGGTGTTCTATGGGTGCCGCATGTATTCAATGGTTGGAAGTGAAGGATTGGTTACTGACGGCGAATGTTGGTCGGCCGTATAGGGGATCTAGAGCCCTGTGCTAATACCTGCCGGGTATGAGTGTGTGGCCTCAGGGTATCTCTCTCCGTCCGAATTGCGTCATTTGCGAAAGTTGCTTTTAGCTTGTTGGTGTTTTTGCATCAGTTTTTGGTGTTTCAGCATCATTTGGACGCGTTTTTTAGAACTCTGTGGATTGTCGTAGCTTGGTGTGGAGTGAGAATTGAGGCGGGATTCGCGTTTTCTGTGTGAGTCGCGGAGGATCTTGTAGTCTCTTTTGTTGAGGCTGAGGTGATCGTTTGGGAAGGCTCGAGGTTTTTCTTTCGTATTATGGAGTTTTTGTTCGACGAGAAATGTGTTTGATGAAATTGCAGGAAAATCGGCTTGGTTTTGGAGGACTTGACTTTGACAAATAATTGAGGTTACAACTGAAATTTAGGGGTTTGCTACATCATAGTTGCTGTGTATTGTACTTAGATCACGAGTCTGTCTCTTTGACCCAGACGTATCGAATTCTGTCCACGTACATTTGGCGTTTTTGGATATGTGTGCATGAGAATCTAAACATTGATTACGTGATGTTGTCTTTGAGCTACCTTCTTGTTACTAGGTCCTTGCTTATAGTTGGGCAAGGGCAGCAATACTCCTCTTGCTGAAAGATTTATTAGTAGCTTGGGATTGGTAACTTTGAAGATTTGAGGGTGCTTTACGATTGCGAGAATGTCCTCGTAACTAGCTCGAAGGCAAGGGGCTACACTAATGCATGTGCTTAATTGTCGGCGGTGATAGTGGTTAGAAAGATTTCTTGTGGCACTGCAAGGGTTGCCCTAATTTGCTTCCTCACCTAACTATTGACAATTCTAATAATCCTCCCTTCAATCCCGACGTCACGACTTGATATGGTTTTCCTCTGTAACCAAACCTGTAAACTCCTTTTAAATGTGCCCTGTAGAACCTTACAAAAGTAACAATGGTTGCCTGAAACAGATATTCCTTGAATCAGATGGCTACGAAGAAATCAACATCAAGCCTAGTAACTGGTGACGAGAATGGGTCCCCAAAGTGGGCGCAGAAGACAGTCACACTTCCTTCTAAAAAGCGTGGATGCCATCTTATTACATCCACGGTTAGCAAAATGTCATCTCCTCTCTTTCTTTTGATGTAACACTTCTCCTTTTACCATGTTGTAAAGACTCCTCCACTTTGTATCAGCTACATTGCGAAAAACTGTGGGACAACTAACTGCGTAATTTAGTTCAGGAGTAGTATAGAAATTAGAGGTTAAGGCATTGGGGTCTAGCGATTCTTTCTATGTCGGGGAGTAAGTGATGTTGCTTGCAAATTGTCAGAATTTGCAGTGCTCACGGTAATATGTATGTATGTAGGTAGGTAGGTATGTATGTATGTATGTATGTATAAAGGGGCGGAATGTGAAACGTGGGGAATATTTTCATGTGAGGCTTTAAGCAATGGATTGGAGACCATGTTCACAATGCTTCGATTCTTTTTGAATTTATGTGTCAGTTGATAACAGTCGGAGCTGTCCGTTGACAGATTTTGAAGGAGATCGAGTCTGACTTGGCTCGTTTCAAATGCGGCATTGCTCATCTCTTTTGTGAGTAACAACCAACCCGATGACATTATTTAGAGAAACATCTTTGGTTTGCTCTAATGACTGATATACGGAGTGTTTAAACGCGTGTACAAATACTTATGGTTGCAAGTTTAGGATTTACAGGTTGTGACTTTTGGCTGTATATGGTGCACGCGGAGAATTATCTCCATGAGGTTAATTTGGTACAGCTTGGGGAACAGCCTATATTTTGTAATCCGCTAACTCTTTCTCGGCTCGTAACACGGATGGCGTTTACTCTGATCAGTGCAGCACACTAGTGCGTCGCTTACAATCAATGAGAATTACGATGGCGATGTCCGCGATGATGTTGAAACTTGGCTGAATTTGACGGTACCAGAGGTAAGTCGCATTCGTTTAGTGCAGCCTCTGGATATGTTTTAGTGAATTGCATTATTGTGTTTGAGATACTATTCTCGCTTTTAATTTATGTTTTCAACATTCTTGTTTGAGTTAAGCATCGTCTATTCTGGTTATGAATCGCAAACATGCTGTTCGCTATGAATAACGCCCCATAATTCGTACTTTACTGTAGGGAAGAAAAGCTCCTTGGAAACACACGATGGAAGGTGAGTTTCTGATATTGGGTCAAAGCGTGTCTAGGATAGATTACTCGATTTTCTGCTCACTCAAGGTTCCCACATCTCTACTGGTCTAGTAGGCTATATGCTACCTCGTACACCAATATGGTGAGGGATTGCTAGTCAAAATTGGTTTGTTTTGTAGACACTTGACGTTACATGCTTTCCTGCCTCTTACAGTAGTGTTCTTTAACTGGGAGGCAGTCACTGAATGAACATCTTGGAATGCAGGAGATGATGATTTGCCAGCACATATCAAGTCATCCACGTTTGGTTGCCAACTCTCGTATGTTCCTCACTCATCCAGCTTTGGAGTTTATATTTTATATTTGAATCCGTCTTCTATGACTAAAAATTCACAATAAGCAGAGTGGGATTCAACGGAATATCATATCAGACTTATGCACGTTCTTATGCAGTCATTTTTTACGTTAGAACTCATGTGGACCAGTTCCCTTATTTCTTGGCTCCCTGTGATGTTTCATTATTGTCATCCAATACACCCTCCTTCTGGAAACATTATTCTCAATACATCCGTAGTATCCAATGCATGACATCTATCAGCACTAGACAGATCTCGATGTAGAATCCATGGATCAGCTATATTTGTGTTAACTTTTACTAGTGCTGAAAACTGAAAGTCTTGGGTAATATGTACAGTTAGAAGAATTTGATGAGTGATCGTCAAGTGAAAGGCATGCCTTCTTATGATTGTTTAGCAACCGTCTTCCGTGGTAATTGTGCAGAATCCCGATAACAGATGGCCGACTTAATCTAGGAACGTGGCAGGTTATTTCTGTAACCAAACAATTAGGGACTTAGCGAACATAAGCTTTTGTATAGTTCTTTACTCGTTGTCTGTTTGTGGGAACATGTTAGGTGAAATTATTGTGAATATTTTTTTAATGCAATCTTAATGCTCATGAGTACATGGTAGTATTGATCATTCCTCAATGTGGTAAATTTGAAAGAAAGATTATGGTCACATGTGTCACTTGTGAGGAATTGCAGTCTTCGATTAAGATAGATAGATTCTCACATATTTGTTGTACTTGGAACTTGTTTTTTAGGGGATATGGTTGTGTGAGCACCGCGACCACGGAGGTGCGCGGAAGGTGGTTATCACCATGACTGGAGTTTAGAGATTTCCCCCAAAGTCCTTCTAGTCTGATTTGTGTGCTTCGCTGTTCAAACCAGCTTCTTAAATATCTAAGAAAAAATTCTCACAAATATGTACAAAAGGCGCTGTACTCAAAAGCATGTTCTGATACATGCCTGAGGGATTTCTTTCACTCTTGATGCTGATCTGGGTCAGATCAGACGACTAGTGTATCTACCAGCAGGACATCATGAATCTTAGTTGAGACGCTTAATAATATGGTTGGAGATAAACTAAACATGTCTCTCATCTATTGCATTTTGTTGCTTCACGAAGAAGCAAACCAATTGTTGTTGATGCACTTGTTTATTTGATTTTGATGCTTTAATATGGAGCAAACACCAAGCGTTAATAGGGTTGCGTCATCAGTAAGCATCTCTTGGCTTTATATCGTCTTGTTTGCAGAGTGGATGGCTTCAAAACGGAGCCCCTTCTTAAATCCTAGCAAGTTGAAGCGAGTTTGAACAATTCAGGTCGATTCCGCCAAATAAGCATGTGCAGGGCAATTCGGGTGCTGGGCAAGCTGATGTACCGTAACCTTGAGCCCATATTCTTTAACAAAATCAGCCATCATGCACTTAAGTATCCGGCGAATCTGGGATCTCTGGTAAGTAGAGAAGTGCACATTCTTCAGATTGTCATTGCACTTAGCGACTCTACCTTCAGTTACTCCACTCCTAAAATATTCAGGGTACATGATATTTACCAACTGTATATGAACAACAGACTTTACGAGTATTCTCCGAATTTCAGCTGGCTTCTGCAAATAATCTGCAAGGCTTGTTTCTGTGAGCTCGTTGTAAGATCCTTCTTTTGGTTTGAACTGCATAAAACAACAGCATCCAGGCGGATTATTTTAACTAATCTCTTTCAACCAAACACTTGGTGGCCATTTTAAAGATATATGTTAATATATGCAAAGAATTGATAGCTGATGTATTTTTTAAAAAGTATCACTTCTAATCACTTCTAAATAATCTTTTCAATTGTCACAACCTGAAAATGATGATTGTAAGACAACCTGAAAAGGATGAAAATTGTGAGACAAGGCATGTTCTTTTTTGAATAGATGGTAAAAAATACATTGGTTGATAACATAATCTTAGAAGAGATTTTTGATGTTATTATTGGACATGAATATTGAGTATAATTTTATTTTAAATTTTACTTAAAGTTTTTTATGATGCCTCAATAATAATTAAATAATAATTAGATAATTAAGTGATCTTTTGATTGAAGTACTATGAATTATTATTACAAAAGACCTATCAACTACTTTCTTTCAAAGTATAGAATAAAATTTGTAGCAAATATTATTAGAAATTATTTAGACTTTATCAAATAATAAAGCAACTTAGAATCTAGTTAATGTTTGTAAAATTGGTATTTGTGATAAGACATGCATACATATATATATATATATATATATATATATATATAAATATAATATTTTCTTTTAAAAATAACAAGAAAAATTCTTAGATAGGAGTAAATGTATAAATATTTCTAGATGAAATATGCTATGATCTCATTTTTTTGTATATATCTAGAAAGTTATTAAAGAAAAAAATTTTAACTTAGAAACTTAACTCATAAGCCTTGTGATCTTTGTAAAACTTCCACATCATATTTGTAATAGCTAGTGTATATATGAAAGAAAGACTAAGATTGTTCTTAATTTTATTAATATCTTTCTCTTATTCTAATTATAGTTAAGATTTACTTATTCCCTTTACACTTGGAATTAATAATTTAAATGTATTATTATATAAAATATATATATATATATATATCTTTTTTTTTTTGATTTTTACACATAAATATATATAAATTTATTTTATTGATAAGTAAATTGATATATATATATATATAATATTTTATATATTTTTCTTTGAAATAAGATTAATTATTATAAAGTAATATCTAAATTATTCTTTGAAAATATCTATTGTATTTGTAGACTTCTATGTATAACTATGTCAATTTTTTTATAAAAATTATTTGAAAGTTTTGTCATTAAGATTACTTTTCAATGTTAGACCATCTACTATAATTGGCATCAATATTACTTAGATAATTAGTAGGTAGAAATATGTTAGATAAAAAATATATATCTTCTTTAATAAACTTTGAGGAAGTATTCTAAAAACAGATTAGATCTTTAGATTTCTAAAGATATGTCATGAAGTAATTGAATTTATTCTATAAATTTCCCACTTTTAAGAAGCCATGTTGGAAGCACCTTACAACATAACACTTTGGGCACATGCCTTATGGTTCTAAGAAAGTTTCCAAAAGACTTTCTTAATAGCTAGTATATACAAAGATAAGAGTGACACTATCACTAATCTTGTCAACATCTTTCTTATATTTCAATCTTGTTTTAGCATTTTTTTTTTATTAATTTATTTAAATTAACAATAATCATTATATTTTTTTTTTTTTTGTGGATCTTCTTTTATTTTTTTCTTTTTTACTATGTTCTACTTAATTACATAAGAGTATGTTGTTTTTTCAAAGTTTTGTCTAGATTCATGACCTTAACATCTACAATTCAATAGTTAAATTAACTAAATCAATATATTTTAGGATATCATCTTTTTTATATAATATTAACTATAAATACAATATAATTTAGTACAAGCTTATATGTAAATTACCAAAGATTTCAACTAAACTTTAAAATAAGAAAACAACCATAGTTTTTAATTATTATAAATTGATTACTTATTAAAAAAATAATACTATATAAAAATATATAAATAAATATATTATGTTTAAATTTACAAAGTAGTTCCAAATGTTTATTAAAATTGAAGCATTAAAAAAACATTATGACATTATCAAAATAATAAAGTTCCAATTATATTTCTTAATTAAAATATATATAATTTTATGAATTTTATCAATAATTTTCTTATAATTCAAAATCAATTAGTTGATATAAAATAAGAGAGTACATAATCAAAATATTAAATAATTATTAAGAAAAAATTTACATATTAAAACTTGAATTTAGATGTTTAACAAAAAAATAAAAAGTAAAAAATAAAAAAGGATCAAAGTATATTAGCAATTTTTTAGTCTTGCAATTTATGTCCATATTTTGTGACTTCAAGAAGTCATATGAAAGGATTTTTATAGAATATTAAGACATTAATCTAAAATTTTCTATGTCACAATTGTTAGACCAACTCAAATAATTGTCACAACTTTTGCCATCATATAGACATCTTTAAAATCAACTAAGCTTTTGAATACCAAATGTTATCTTAAAAATGCAATTCTTATAAATAGATATATATTTTTTTTAAATATTAAAACCATAGTTAAATTATAATAATTTGGTTGCATTAATATAGCCTTCACTTAGACAAAATTACTAAATTAAGTTCATAAAGACAAAGCAATTATTTCCATAAGTTTTGATTAAATTGACATAGACGTTTATCATATAAAAATCAAAGGACACTATATGTTACAATATTGAGAAAAAATAAATAAAACCATAAGCAAAGAAAAATAGAATAGAATTATTGTATTGAGATCTAAAATAATATTTGCACACAATTTTGGTTCTACAAAGCTAAGTATAAGAGCTACTAAAACCTTGATATATTCTTTAGAAAGTATTCTAAGTCTTTTCCAAATATAATGTATATTAAGGTACATGAGGCATTTCTTCTATCCCTTCTTTGTCTCCTCCACATAAATAACTTTAATTAAATTGTAAGCAAGCCTATTATATTGTATACATTAACTTAGACAAAATACAATATATTTCTACAATATACATAAGTTCTCTAATAAATCATTAAATTTTTAAAGATATAAAGATTTAGACTATTAAATCTCTTATTGAACTTGTCACAAAAGTGTTAGAGACATAATCCTTAGAACCTTCTAGAGACAAGTTTTTAAAACCTTCTAGACACAAGTTTCTAGAACCTTCTAGAAGCAAGTCTTTGGAACCTTCTAGAAGCTTCTTAGTTGGTAGAAGATGTTAGGGACATAGTCCTTAGAACATTCTAGAGATAAATTTCTAGAACCTTCTAGAAGCAAGTCTCTAGAATCTTCTAGAAGCTTCTTAGTTAGTAGAAGTTGCTTGAAAAGCTTCCTAAATAAGAGTATATATTGGAATTGAGGCTGAAGAGTTCTTCAGTCTCGACAACACATCTTTTAGAGCTCTAGTTCACCTCTCTGGTGTTGTTCTCATCTGATTAATCTAATTCATGCTAGTTCTTGTTGAACTTCTTATTAGATCTCGAGTCTTTATTTCTGTGTCCGTGACAGTTTGTCGAGACTTCACTCATTATAGATATCAGAGCTAGTTTCTTCTTTGTTAGAGTGTGGATTACCCCTCTGCTTGGAAGTGTACTAGCATTTTAGTGGTTGCGGATTACCCTCCTTTAAACTGATACTTTTTTGGTTACAATATTAGAGTCTTATTCTTCTTGGAGAGAGTGGATTACTCCTTTTCTTGAAGCTCTTAAGGCATTTTAGAGGTTGTAGAGTACCCTCCTCTAAACCAATATTGTCTTCTTGTACAATCATTTCTGTCCTTCTCTTAGAATGGCCGGGGGCTAAGACATTAGTATGGCAGAAAGTTCGGAGTCCAAGTTGGATGCTATCATGAATGCCTTCGCTACGTTATCGCAAAGAACTGCAGAGATTGAAGGAGTCATGGCAAGGCTTCATAATGATGGAACATCTGAGATGGCACAATCTAGGTTGCACCAGCCTCAAACTTTTGCACTTGGAGAAGCAACTTTACCTCGGGTTCGACAAGCATCGTTGATTCTATAATATAAGGAGCCCCGAGTTAGCCTTCCTGACAAGTTCGATGGTACGCATTCTAAATTTCGAGGATTCGTCAACCAAATCAGGTTGATAACAATTTTACAGCCCGAATGCTATCCAACGGAGGAATCACGTGTTGGGCTTGTTGGAACCTTACTTACAGGACAAGCTCCATCATGGTTTGCTCCTTTGTTTGAGAAACGATCCTCCATACTAAACAACTTTGAAACCTTTTTGGAGGCGTTTGCGGAAGCATTTGGTGAACACGGCAAGTTTCGATGGACTACAACAAAGATCCGGTCACTACGACAAGGGATGCGCTCTACATCAATCTATGCATCGGACTTCAGGCAATTAGCTACGACATCAATTAGGACGAAGAAGCGTTGATGAGTCAATTCTATTGAGATTTAAGGGACGATGTGAAGGATTTGTTGTTAACTCTTCCTGATCCACAAACGCTCAACGAAGCTATTAGCCAAGCTGTGAAGTGCGAT